TCCCCTTTAGCCGCTAATTACTACAGAATCGTGGTAATTTGGTTAATGGACAATTAATTTTATACAACTCGCCAAAAACTTGAACGTACACTACTCACTTTCCTCAACGAGAAGTACGGAATTAACTTCATAGAGTTCTCTTCATCAAATTTTTAGTGATTTTAATCGAAAAACTCCTTCGCCTGTCGGGCGAAATGGCTTTAAGATTTACTTTAGACAGGCGTTGACTTTATGAAAACAACTGTTCCCGATTAACAAATATCGCGCGAAAAATTTATTAACATGATGCATGAACTCTTCTATTACGTACAACTAAGCACTATTGTAAGCAATGATTGTCAACTCGATTCAACCCCGTGCCAAGAGTAATCAAAACTTTGTTTATGTTCTAACTTGACGCAATAACGCAACTACTCGTACTGCCAACAGGGAACAAAATGTTCAATTCCGACCGCGTTATTGCGAAGTAAATTTACTAGGAACAAATTTTAAGACGCAGTTTCATAAGTTTACAAATATATTGACCTGATAAGAACTATTGACACTTTGAGCTTCCATTGGTTTTGACATAAATGCCATGCAATTAATTGCCATCAAAATGCAATTTGTATGATTAACAATTATTATTGGGTTCTGTTTAGTTTCTTCAGAAGTCCCACGTTAAAAGACACTGCAATGTAGCAATTTAGGCAATAGGAAAACCTTTTTTCATACTTATAAATTCCCGTTACAAGGGAAAGAACCGGAACATAAATTCTGTGCAATATCAAAAAGACTATCTCCAGGGCATGAACGTTTATCGCCGTTGTAAAATGCGTCGAAAGTCCAAACGCGGGACAAGTAAAATACGCCGAGATATCATCCCTCAGCAACGCAAAATGTAAGTGTCACCGTGATATAACACAAATTTAACGTCGCTTTTGGGATCGCCGCAATGTTACGCGTGCGAAATTTCTATGTCTATCTACAAATTGTTTACGTCGGTGCTCCCCCCGCCTTTCCCGAGCGCTAAGCGGGAAAGTTCTGCTGGTAGATATTAGGAATAAATTAGGCCTGATAATACTTTCACATATGTTAAATATACGTGAACACTATGTGATTTTTTCTGTTCTAGCATGCGCCAGTGATTTTGATAAACTTACTTTTAAACGTATCTTCATCGTATTATATCATCGCATATATTTCTTTTGCTTACCTGTGTAAAGTTTTGCTGTATTGTTGCTTTTAATGCACAGTATTGATTTACGAAATAAGTACTATACGTATAAAATACGGATAACTAACTATACTATCGTATATATATATATATATATCTAGTATTACTAATATCTTACTATTATTTCCTTTATTTTCCAAGTTGAGTTTGCCTTAGCTGATTTAACTATAAGTTCATTTCTTGCATATAATGTCAAAATGCAGCATTTATGGCAGACCGAGTGTACGAACAACGAATAAAATATCATAATTACATTATTAAATGTTGTTGCAGGAAATGATATGAAAATTGTGTATAAAATGTAATTTACGTGTTAGTGAGATATTGTTGCCAGTTACACATAAAAGCATATTAAAAATTAAGTTGTGCCTTTTATTGATCGACACGAGGCTCTACTCAGGGGAAATTGACAACGAAAGGTTATTAAATGTTCCAAAGGCTAATGCAGTGTCTCTAAAATAGCCTACAAAATATATGATACAGCACTCGAGTAGATTATGATCGAAGAGATAACGCATAATATTTAACTTTACGAAACGCCAAAATTTGTTCAAAACTTCTGATACTTGCCAAAAATGACCATAATAAAAACTATTAATTCGATTCAGTGTTACTTAGCACATTTTTTGGTACAATCATTAAAAATACTTCAGTATACTGACGAATAATTATTATAGTAGGTACCCATAATCGGTGTGAATATTGCAACAATTATTTTTTAAATAAATCTAGTTTTATCGCGTTCTTTTTTCTATGAATTCCCGACGATTCTGATACACAAGTTCACGCCATAATATGCAGCATTAGTCTAATAACAAGAACTTATAAAAATAATTATTGCACACATTACCATACACAACACAACAAATTAAAACAGATTGTATTCAAAGACTTGAGTTCCTACGCCCGCATAAATATAAGGGTGTCGGTGGAGGCTTAACATATTTGCTGAAGACCCCTAAGAGATCGCCGGCTATAATTTCTTAACGAGCATTCCGACGTGCCTGGCGGCAAAGTGGAGAGCAAGACCTAAGCAAATTGCTTAATTAACACCTCAAATCCTTGCCAAGATTGCCTTATGGTTATGACTGCTAGGCATCTAAAGCATTTGGAAATCACATCGAACTACACACATATTAGTAAAATTAATTCTTATACAAACTTCTATTTATAATCGAATTAATGTTTTCGGTTTTAGTTTTAATATAACAACGATAATGACAAGACAACGGTGACTTCGTGGGGAAATTGTAGGCTTGGATCTGAACCGTATATAATTTTATAGGTTTCTGGATTCCCTACGTGCAGAAATCAAGTTCTTGATAATGACTCTTAAAATAAATTAAAGCAAACAGGAGCTCTTGACAATTCCCAAACAGGCCAAATATTTGAGTGATCCACAGATAATTGTTCGACGGAGAATTCCCAAGGAGGGTCAACGTTAGGCAGGCGACCGGTTGTTAAAAATGTAGCCAGCGTCGTTAACAACATGATTCAAATTTTATGCCGAGGCGCACCAGGTGGGATAAGGGCAGAAGAAAGAATTTAATCAAAATCACTGTTTCACATTTGTATCCGGTGTACCGGCTCTTCCTCTGGTCCTGCTTGAAAAACTTGGTGAAATTCAAATGAATATCATCAGCTTTCTTCATTACCACACGTTTTATATTATAGTATTCAACACATTTCCCATTTCCATTTAACGAGTGATTTTATGTAAAACTTTATATAAATCACATGCTCGCCCACAAATATAAAATTTTTATTAAAAGTTAAAGGTGTTAAACCCAATTATTCCAGTTTAATCACGCCATTGAAATTTTACGATCTCTAGTATATCGATTCTATTACACGCACCGCTGATAAATCTAGAAATTTGACAAGTCATTGCTTCTCGTACGCTCATAAAAGTCGAACGGGGCAATAAAATGTCTCATGGTAATATTCCAAACAAAAAAAAATCATGTTTATGGGGGGATCGTAAACTTGGAAATTGCAGAAGTAATCGCATAGTCGATTTATTTGAAAGGTACACATCGCCCCTTAGACTTGAAAAGTTCAATATTGACTCGCGAAATTACTTTAAGCTGCTGCAGCCGATAATAATGGCGACCGATTCGCAATCTCGACCTTATAGCTCGTCCCGAGGAGTGGAATTGCTTCCGGGGCCTGTACGAGCGAGGTGTTGTTACAGCCCGCCACGCTTATTGGCATGTCCTCAAAGCTTCCTTCCGCCGCGACGACGGTGGCGTCGAAAAGGTTTATCGCTACAAGCCTTAATAGCGTCTACTCAATAACAGATACATACGCTTTCTTTGTTTCTTTATTCTGATACCTTTATGATGCTTTACATTGATTCAGTTACGTATTTAAATTTACCTTTACTGCATGGGACGGCGTTATGTAAATGTAGCGTAAATTCCGATGAATCTTTCATTTGGACGTTTAATAAAGTTGGGTAAGTTAAAATCTTTTCCGTAGTATGCCTATATATACGCCTGCCGCCTTGCAACTTATAAGTAATCCATCCTAGCAACTCCCGTTGAAGTTAGTCAAAGCATAGACGTTTAAGCCGCAACTATGTGGTATACAAAATTGTCAATTGATCATTATCAATAAGTTTAAAGTATAAGTAAATTTTTAAACGAATTTTTTTATGAATACATTAAATTTATTCTAATTGTTTAGAAACAAATGAAAATATTCCTATGTACATATTTTCATTTGTAATTACAGGGATATTAAAATAAACAATTTTTTAATGTATAGGTATATATATATATATATATATAATATATGGAATAATGGTATAGGAATTAATATTTCGAATATATTTTACCATAATTTTTTGTCAAAAGTAGACACATCTTCTGAGGTGTAGTCCTTAGGTCTGCGAGTTGTGACAAAGTCTTGAAATTCCTTTGAGGCCCGCTTTTATTTATTCATACTCACGCTCTAAGGAAAACGCGAACATGATTATGCGGATTTGCGAACTAAATCCTTGCCGCCCACGCAATCGGTATAAAGTTGCATTCGCGTGTATCAAACGTTGCATAACCCGGTCTACTTCCCCCGCTAAAAACTTCCACTTACGCTCCCAACACTAGAGCAATAATCATCCGAGCGAGTTTTATACGCAAATATACGGCGGCTCGAGCTTTCTTGCCTGCCGCATTACTTTTCCGACGAAATAAAGCGACCGCTCAAAACAAACTAAATGAATTCCATCCCCCGATCTTAAACCAATTAAAAGCTGTCCATAAATCTTCGCGACGGCCAGACTACACAGTACACTAGCGTAAACTTCGAGACTCAACTATTTAATTGGCCAAGTAACGTGCACTTTAAAAACTTGCCCTAACTCCGGGCAGGATGGCAAATAGACAATTCGGTGGCGCCTTCCGTTTTGAATGCGCATTGCAAATGTCTCGAGTACGTCATTAACACATTTCTTTTATTGAAAGAGACTAGATGTGAGTCGTGACTGCAGGTGAGTATCTGTCAAAGGAGCCTAAGTGTGTGTACGAGTATTGGCATACGTATCTGTGCTTTCGATTTCGAAGGCACTTCTAACGGAGCGCGGTTGCATCACCAAGAAGATGTAGCTATTCAGTCGTTAGCGGTGTACGACTGTGTGCGCTAAGGCAGCGGCGTATGCTAGCCCGACATTGCTCGGGGGTCGACGCCCGGGGGGGCGTTGAGGGGGGGGCTTTGCACTTCCGCCTCGCTGCACTCATTTCCGCATAAACAGTGCCTACCTCAGCATCAAGATGTAGGCCTACAGATGACGATGTCAAAGTGCGTCTACCCTCGTTCACTCCTGCAACTATACCTATAAAAATAAACAGATTGCATCACGAATCATATTTTAAAGTAAGTAGAAATTTAACTACTCATTAGGAAAACATTTTCCGCGCTGTTAAAATAAAGGGGCGGCGGCACTGATTGCAACTAATCAACGTGAACCGAGCTGTGGTGGGGAGAAGAAACGCAATTCGAAGTCCCCCTTAAAAGTTTCGAAAGCGAAGGAGTGTGGGTGAAATAAAACAAAGGCGGGCACGCGCCCGCCGCGGCACTCATGCAGAGTGCTCTGCATTGTGGCAGGCTGGATGTACAATGCGTTGTGCGATATAGGCACACGTCCGTCTACGGCCTAGCGGAGTCGCACCCGAAGCTTATTAGAACACGTCATTGGACACCATAAGTTAGCTTACGCGTCCGAACGCTTTCGTCAAACGTATTATAGCGTGTCGTGGCACCATTGATATATTTCTCAATTATCAACCGCCTTATTACAATACGATTATTACACAAATTAGTGGATCCGTGGATGGCAGTGGTGAATGTAAACGAACCGTGCAATCCATTTATATGTGAAAAAGTAAAACTTTCATTGTCAGTTATGCACTGACAGCGGCGAGAATCATTAGTAAAGCAAACACTAATGAACCCCTCGATATTATCCGCGGCGGCAAGCGAGTCCGCCGAGATATCGTAGACCTCTTGGGATTCTGGCGTCATAATACGAGCTTGCTTAACAGCGCATATCTTTAAATCAACCTGCTAAAGGCCGGCTATTGACTATTATTATGCAATAGACTATTTATTCTCCTTGTAATACCACAAAAAAGTGATTACTTAACCTTACCTTTAAAGTTAACTACTTGATCCCATTTCGGCCATCGCTTCGCATTTACAGCTTTTTTATTGGAAATATATTGGTCGCTAAGTAAAAAGTTCTAGCAAAGTCAGTTGTGTAAACATTTATGTACTCCATCATGGCTGCGACAGTTATTTAATGGAGTTCCCTTTAGGCATTCGTGATATACCTGTCGTAATCGTGGCACTATAAAAGTAAAATTCAATTAAAATCTGACTAAAACCTGACCAGATAACAACTCTGTACACGCAAAAAACGCTCGGGAAACAGGTCAACAGCTCTCCACCCGTAAGCATACTAACGACATAGAGTTTGCCATTTTGAAGGTAATAATTTTTTTACTATCGTTTAAGTTGTAAAATATTTAGAAATGTCCAAAACAGAATATTATAAAGGTTCCTTGCAAAAACCTAGTTAATGTAAAGCAAACTTATAAAATCGAAAATTATAATAAGATGATTTTAATAGCTATTATAAAATTGCGTAAAATTTGGTGATTTCGAACGGTGCACTATAGTTTATTGAGCAAATATAAAGAACAGCACCCCCGAGTGGTGGTAAGAGCTTATCGAGAGACGGCGAGAAAGCGCACGCCTCTTCTATAAGGGCTGCTTTGTACTTAGTACTAGGACCACTTTCCAGCGGCAAGGACTTGCTTCCTTTTAAACATAATGAACTGCCTTCGCCACGATAACACACGCCGCTCCGTCTCAGTACACGTGTACTTATCACACGAAATATGTCATAATCCCAATGAAAGACAGTTTATGGCATTTGGTATTATATGTTTAAATGTTGTAAGCGGTCTCAGATTTTAATATGACGGCCACTCTGAGAGTGGCAGTGAACTGGCATTAAATTAATTTATTACTCAAGTTGCTTCTTGTTCATAATTCTTTACAAATAAACTTCAAGTAACTACTAGTAGAGTGTCTGATGGATAAACTTTTTGTGAGTGACATTAAAACATTTAGCAAATATCTTCGTTTTTTTTCTGCCCTTATCCCGACTAGGTGGGGTTTCCTTAGGAATAAATCCGGTACAAAACTATCTACGGGACACAAAAACACTTGTCCCGTGTGGAATTGAGCCATTGCCGAGTAATGAATAATTTAAAAATATATTATGTATTATTTATATTATTCCGATAAACAATGTTTACTTCTAGCTCTTTATTCATCATTTAAATCTACACAAAATGCTATTCCATTCATTTGAGTAAACGAAATATTATATCCTATTTTTTCAGAGCCCAAGAAAAATGTTGGTGTTCTCAGTTATTGTCGTCATTGCTATTCCGCCTGCTCCCTTTGCCTTCTATTCGCCGTAAAACGTTAAATGAATTTAGAAAGTACTTTATTTCGTAATGTCGAATCCAGGAACATTCCAAATATCTCCCGACACGACGTTAGGGCGGAAATTAACAATTCGAAGGAAAAAAGCGGGGCCTAAAATAAAGGGGGGAAATTATTACATTTATTAGTAGATCGAACGAAGGGTATCTACGATATTCACAGTCTTAAAAATATTTGGAGTTTAAGAAGGTAAATATTTATTGCACAATATTGCAAAGCACTGTTAATTTTTGAAAAGTTACGTTCTAAAAAGGAAATATAACTTGCCAAATAAAACTTGTGGTTACTATTTAAAATAAAACGAAATTTGAGAGTATTTTTTTAATTTCAATAAAATAAAATTAATGAAGGAATGCAATAAAATTGCATTTGTTTCTAAACGTATGAAACATAGAAAGAAAATAAAGTGAAAGCACAAATACGCCTACGAATAGTAAAAGTTCGGAATTTTATTATACATTTTGAAATACCGTTATTAAATTATTTTTATTAATCGGTTCAAAAGAAAAAATAACGTATCCACAAACCGTAGTTGCCTAATGCGATAACAATCTAAACAATAGAATTACATCACGGACGAGCGATATAAGTGTATCATTATTTCCTAATCCGGTTCTAATGGTGTAGTTAAAGAAGCGCACCGGAGACCAAACGCAGTATCGCTCGTGGAGGAAATGAGTTCAATTTAGCATTATCTCGGAGAATTGACTGGCCCGGCTTCGTCCGCTTGTTACATTGAATTATACACAACGACAGCGCTACTGCGAGAGCTATCAGAAAATTGCGCAATAAATGAAGCGTGTAAAAGTTAAAAAGGATTTGTAACAACTACCTAAACGATTATATTCGATTGTCACGTGTTTTCGTAGCATACAGACTCATATAAGAGAATTTTTAAATATTAGCGTTCGAGGCAACTTAGAGTAGATGTTTTTTTTATTTGAATAGTTGTCAAGCGAGCGTTGACAACCTTTAAAAATGTAGGCCCGGTTACCTCAATCAGAGTGAGTGACCCACCAGATGAAATGCTTAGTATCAAACTTTTACTTCACTTTCTGTGAGGCCGTGTTACTTGCCCGGACGTGCCTGCCCATTAGCGCAGCAGCAGAAACTGTTGTGTGGCCATACCACAGTATAGGAAATTTATTATTTTATCTCCTAATCTGCGCGCACATCTTCAGCGTGCAGCGAGAGCCGAAAGGAAAGCTATTAGATCGGATAATTGTCATGTAATGATCGGATAATATCATACGATCTTTCATATATTATGAGGCCGCAAGTGAGCAGATGTTTCACCTGATGTTAAGTGAATACCGCGACGGACATCTTTGTTTGATGAAATATGAGTCCACTAATAAAACTATACGTAAAAAACAATGCTTTTTCCAATTATCACCATTTTCTAAGAAGCTGTGGGACTTTCCCACCACTTCCTATCAACCTGGGGCCCAGCTGCTGCAAGACCCTGCCACAGTCAAAGTTATTTATATATATTTATGTATATCAAATGTATGGTTTATATCTAAGCCTAGACCTAGATCCGTATATAAGCAGCTTCGTTTATGATTAACAATATTAGTCATTATTAATAACTTATATAGTTAACACTGATTAATAACTATATAGTTTCATAACTTTAGTAACGACACAATACACTGTCACTTTCAGTGGGTGCGACGACGTGCAGCGTTCACTGGAGTTATTGGACCAGGTGCTGAGCGAGTACGACGAGGGCGAGCCGCGCTCTTTGGAGGCTCGGGCTGCTGCCACGCCTGCCACGCCTGCCACGCCTGCTACGCCTGCCACACCCGCCACGCCGGCCACGCCCGCCACTGACGACGACTCGCCTCTAGCAGGACACACTTCAGAGGACGATGGATACATGAGCATGAACGGCAGACGGTATTCCTTTATACTTATTAAAATGTGTCTAAGAAAATGAGTAATTGTCAGTGTCTAAGCAAATAAATAAGTTTACTTATTTATTGTATAATAGAAACTTGTTTCATGATATAGGTATCGAGCAAACAATATTATAAAGAGACGTAAGTAAATCATTCCCAAATAATGGTCCCAATTTGTCAGTATCACGCGTCGCTCGTCGTAAATCTATCTCACGAGGTACGAGAATATAATGAACAAAAAGCGAAATGCGAAAATTCGACGATAAACTAAAACTGTTTTTATAATCTCTCTGTTCGCTTAAAATGTTTCAAAAGGTGAAATGATGTTAGATCAATAATTTATAAACATTAAACGTCATAATTATCCGATAAATAACATGATATGATATAATAAAACTAAATTTGTTTATCATGAACGCATTGTGCTTGCGACCAAGAACTTCATAAAGTTAATAAAGTCGACTTGACTGTGCGAAATGTCGGGAATTTACAAACAAAATGAACGGTACAAAATCTGCAAAAACAGTTTTATTTGACATTCGCCTTAATACCAATAAATATTTAATGAAAAATTTCGGCAATAGAATATTTAATATGTAAGTAACTTCATAGATAAACGAACAAAACTTTTAGCGCTGCGGGATTCGAACCTGCGTCATCTAGGTAATGCACTCACACAGACTAGCGCGCAGAGACTAACACTGAATAAAAATTAAACCTTAAAAGTGTAATATTTTCTTATGATATTATATATATTTTTTCGCATTAGCATTTTTACATAAAGCCATTCATTTATAATGTATAAGAGGGAAAGTGATCGGACTCCTAGCTCATGTCACTCAAATTGATGAGTGTGTTCCAAACATTGCCAGGTTTGTATTCTGATTGCAGAGCGAAATTCGCGCTGGGTTTCCGTCCGACGGAGGAACGGGAGGAGCCTTCGCCCCCGGATCCGCCATCTCCGCACTCGCCGCCTCCACCCGAGGAAGCGCAGCGGATCATATCCACACTATTACCCAAGTATTAAACCCCTTTCTATTATTGTGATTCTAACAGCCGTGGTAGCTAATTTTCCGGGAGTTCGCCTTTAATCCAATGAAATTGTTAATTTTAAGTTACTGACTTATCCCGCGCTCAGCGCTGAAGGAAAACTTCGTGAAGAAACCATGGAATTTTCGAAATAATAACAAAAAAAATATTTTGAATATATGTGAAGTCCGCTAATCCGAAGTGGAGCCGCGTGGTGGACTATGCCCTTATACCCTCTGTACAGAGGAGGCGTTTGCTTAGCAGTGGGATATATATACGAGTAGACTGTTAATTTAATTTATTTTAATAATCTTGTGTAATTACGGACGGAGATACAACGACTAACACATGGTCACACGTAATCATATAGACGTAGCTAAAGTTATTTGACAATCTCTCGCTGTAATAACAAACCAGCGTAATGAAGCATTGCATAAATATGAACTATGCTTAAAAAACCCTTGGATAAGATTTGTGATCCAGATGGGGAGCTGTTTAAATTTAGGATCGATCCGAAATCGAGTTTATACTCTATTTTACGAATAAAATCATTGCTTCAAATTTTGTCATTATTACATCGCGAAAAGGCTAAGGCTATCTCTTTCTAAACTTGGCAAAACTTAGATCGCATTTGGTTTTCTCTGCCCCCCTAGTGTTAACGGACATAAAACCAAAATTCCTTCGAAAGCAGACTTACTAAGATTCGTAAACGCGATTTTAGATCCCAGCCTTTAGCTCAAAAAATTATTAAAAACAACTGTAAAATTTTAATTAGTTGACTATTATATAAATTATATAATTATATATGTGAAATGTTTCTAATCGTTCTCAAATTAATTTTCCATTTGTCAATACAATGCAAGGTGAATGTTGATAAGTCGAACTCATTAAGTTAAAATTGTTAATATTAATATTAATTTAATGATTGTATTTTTTTACAAGAATCGTCAATCATATGGCCCCATATGTTACTTTGCATCCTTTTCCAAAAAAAATGATAGAGTTTTACCGATAATAAGTATTGAAATAAATATAGGTCAGCTCTTATTTTTTTTTTCAGATGACTTGACATTTAATTAACTTATAAGGAAGTATGATATGCGAGCATGGCGTCCACTGTGGTTGATTTCATTTTGCTTGCACGCGATCTTAGAAATCTCAGTAAAATCCATAAAGTATTATTAGAATATTAAAGAACTTTCATTTATATTATTCATTCTCTAGTGTAAAAAAGAGGAGTACCAGATATCTCGTAATTCGATGATACGTCACCACAATTATTGATAACCTATTGCAATTTTTATAACCTGTTATAAAAATTGCAATAGGTTATCAATCTATAACCTGTTCTAAAAATTGCAATATCCTTAAATAAATTACCAACTCCCCACATATAATTATACTATTAAAACAATTCCGAATCTTTTCTAGATGATGATCATTACATTTATATTTCCTCATGGTTACACTTTCAGAGTGTCACCTGCGAATTCTGCAAAGCGCACAATTTCAGCTGAACAAACGGAAGCCGGGGAGAAACTGGACTCCATTATTAGTGTCAATGGAATAACCACAGCTACACAAACTACGTTTGTAAGTAAAATATTATTAACATAAATATATATGTTTTTTTAATAATATATATATTTTAATAATATATTTATATTGAAATTTACATTTACTCCATAATATTATGATGATACGATAACATAGAAGCAACTTGATCAACTAAAGACAATGGTAAAAAGTAACTGAATTTAAGATTTGATTTTGTCAACGCAGTTTTGGGCTTGTTGCCATTTTTGATCTGAAAAGAATTTCAACTACCCCTCGACCTTTTTGAATAATGAAATGCTACCGGACCAATAAAAGCAGCATACAGATAAACGCCTACGGATAAACTTTTGTACTACATAAAAAATAAGGCTTGAAGCCTAGGTTCACTCTTCTTTGTTAATACAAACAGCATCGGTAATTCGGTGGCATCTTTACTTGTACGTGTTAAATTTTACACAAAGTTTTTATAGTGTCTTTCAATATCTGCACTAAAAATATTGAAAGACATTAAAATTTGTAGAAAAAATATAGCGAAAATTTTTGACAACGTATGATACGGAAATAGATAGACAGTTTATAGAATTTCAATCGAATTACACCAATTGGTGTTATTTGAGTACCTCAGTTTCGGTGCGCGCATATGCAACTCGTATTTGTATATTTTTTTTAATGTGAAAAGCGAGCAGCACCGGATCTTAAGTGAATACCGCCGCCCATGGACATTTGCTACCCCCGAGGCTTTGATGATGCGTTTACAACCTTTTTGAAAACAAGGTTGCCCCGGCCACCACGAAAGTACTATACTTCCACTTTACGCCGGTCTTCAGTGAGGTCGTGGTACTTACCCGGACGAGCCTACGCATTCGTGCAACAGCCGAGGCTGCTGCGTGGCCCTACCACAGTTAATATCATCGTATCAGACCAGTAAAATTCCGCCGATTTAAATGTCAGTCGCCCGCCTTTCAGCCGAAAACCCGGCACCAGCGGCCGTACGGTTGGGAGAGGGACGTCGACACGAACGGGTTCCAGCTGCAACCGGCACCGGTGCCACCGCACAGGTTCGCCTCGCTCCAGCACGGCGTCCACCCGCCGCATGCCGACGCGGCCTGGCTGCCGCCGAGGCAGCCGCAGCCGGCGCAGCTCAAGTCGCCCAGCGTCGAGAGCCCGCCCGTGTTCCCGTTCATGGGCTTCTCGAGCGAGTTCAACGACAAACCGTACAATGAGCACCCCGTCACTATATACCCCGGGCCGAACGTGCAGTTCGGCAGGCAGGCGCACTCGCCTACGTGCAATATTCAAAAGGTGTCGCCGTCGAACAACAGAAATTCGGAGAGGAAGAGCAACGTGAAACGAGACAGCAGATCAGACGGGGAGCTGCTGTCGCCTAGAGGCAAACTGCCTCCGCGGACTCTCGCCAGTTCTATGGAAAGGCATAGAGAAGTGTGTAGAGGTTCCTCGGAGGACATAATGGACGGACGGAAGACCAGAGGTTCGAGCAGGAGCAACGATGAAGATCATTTCTCTGATGATTCCTTGGAAGAGTCGCTCCCACCTCCGCCGCCGGCTACCGCCACACCTTCGAAACGCAATTCCATCGCATGGGAAGTGTCCCTCGATGGTGATGATCCTCTACTCACTCCGGGAAGCACAAAGGTACACGCCATCAGTGTTCATATAAACATTATCTTTCGTGCTATGTTTTTGCTTATTCATTATTCCCATAATCGAACGTATCGGTTAACGTTTCGATAAAGTTATGAATTAAGATTAAACTCGGTCGTGCGATACGTAGTTTCAATGATTAGTCGGCATTGGAAGCAATTTTGCATCCATTAGTGCATGATTTTACACAAGGTTTTGCAAGATGTTTATCACGATAAATATGTATTTCAATACACAAAGATACGCTTATAAATATGCATTTCAATATAATCGCTACAGATTAGTCATTTTTATAGTACACTGGGTGAATTTAATTGGTTTTCGAAAAATTGTTAACATCACTTCCACCATCAGAACATAAATTTCATATACAAAACTGTTTTTTTTCCCTAAGGCCTTGATTGAAACCGCCTTTCTGATTACGCGTCCAAACGCTCTATCAAACGCTTCGCTGTAGATATTCTCAGCGCACAAAATTCTCAACCTATTATCTATTTATATATTACTAGCTGTTCCATGCGAGCAGCAGAGTTCATCAGCAAGAAACGTTTTTGCTTCGCCCCCGTAGGTCGTAACATGACTTTAAATACTCAAGAATTGGGCTATCGAATGCATAACATTCCTTTCAAATTCAACTGTAGTTCCTGAGATTAATGCGATCAAACAAATAAAGGAACAAACTCTTCAACTATATTATATTATAAGTAATAAGTATAAATTGTTCAAATAACTAAATCTAATTCTTTTCTCAATTCGTTATAGGTCATTGGGCGCAGGAGACGGAAATCTGGGGACCAGTCGCATTCAAGCACAAGCTCCATACCGCAACGGCTGGATGACGATTGGGGTGAAGAATATTGGCCACCACCACCGCCTATAGCACAATGCGAACCTGTGGCATCGCCGACCTCCGACATGGAGCACGATAATCGCCGCGATCTCGCGTGTGGCACATACGTCATCCGAAAGGGCAAAAACCGCAAACAGTTACCGACATTCAACAAGAACAATATCAACAAGCCCGCGAACACAAACAGTATAATCCAAACGCACAGCTTAAACCGAAGCACTGACAAGTCGATAGACGGTTCCAGTATATCCATTAGCGGCTCGGGCTCTGTTAGTTCGTACAACTCGAGACCCAGTTCAGATTTAAGCTTACCACAATCCAGATACAGCGTCGACCTCAATTCGCGTTTGAGCCGTGAACTAAACACTCCGAACTCGAGATACAGCATAGACCTCTGCACGCCCAATTCAAGAATGAGCAAAGAGATGACGTCACCGAAATCGAGACTCAGCCTAGATCTGAACAACGGCCAAGACAGATACATAAACCCGGAATATTTCGGTCACAGTCCTAAAAGCCGAAAGATGGTGCCCGACAAGATTGTCACGCCCAAAACTAACCCTGTACAAAATAAACTATCACCGCAGAACAGGTTCACCGACTTCAAGAAATATTCGTCGACGTTTGATAATATACAATCGCTAATTAAGGAGGGTAAGGTGGAAGAGGCTCCGCAAATTGAGTGCAATGAAACTGTCAACGAACTCACCACTGTACCGCCCAACATGGTACGTGTCATTTCTTTACCTAGTCTCGGTGAGACAGATGGCAACAACGCTAGTCGACAAGCACTCATCACCACGGTGGAGGAAGAAGAGGACCAGGAGAGCGGGGAACCTGGCTCCAGCGGCGATACGTCGCCTTTACGCAAAATCGAAAACAATATCAGCGCGATACTGAGCCAGGGCCGGGACCAGAAGCACTTTACGCCGTACATACCCAAGGACTGGAATATACATAAGGACGAGTATTGCGATGACGTATCCAAAGAGATGATGGAGACCAACTACCGCTACAGCTCCAGGGAGAAGCACAGGAGGCACGACATCCAGAAGTCCTCCAGCCACAACGAGATACAAAGCCAACGGTCGATCGACCGTCGGGACCGTTCCTCTGGCAGGCGATCGAACAGCATGCACAAGTCGACCAGCGCGAAGGATGTACCAATCAGCTTGGTACGCCAGCCGTCTTCTTCTGACTCGGCCGTGTCGAGCGGTGGGGACTTCCCGCTGAATGTTCAGATAGTGGAGCATCCATACAGACCCCCGTTGCCCCCTTCGCCCAGCCTGGGACACGACAAGGGCCCGCTGCCACAGACTCCAGATTCGCCCAAGTTTCCCCCGTTGCCACCCTCGCCGGTACAAGAGGTCGAAGACGAATACACCGAGATTATGCAACCCACGGAGAGACGTCACATTAAAAAGGCAGACACTTTGCCAACTCCAACCATGGAATCAAGGAGAAGGTGAGTGGATTACTGTTGTTTAATATTCCTATAAAATAGAAAATAAATAAATACCCACAGTGTAATGTTAAATTCCCTTCTGTGTTTCGTTTGTGAGTGAGGTAGCCCAGTCTATTAAAAGGTGGCAACGTATCTACAACCCTATGGGTGTTGCAAATGTTCACGGGCGGCGGCATTAAGTGATAAACTTAACATCAGGTGACCGACAGCTCGATTGCCACATTCTCATATAAAAAAAGCATATAGGTATAAATGAATAACTGTACGCAATGCAGTCGCAAAATTCATTTTCTTGTAATTTAAAAAGAATAATACATTAAACGACATTCATCTCATTCCAAATTCACCTATGGAAGCGATCAAATACTATGCTAAAACATTACGTATTTTTTATTGTATCAAAAAATTATGTAACATCGATATTAAATCACAGAACAAAAGAGATGTATAAATGTGCAAAAAATTATCAATTATGTAAACAATACAGAACAATATAAGCAACAGTAAATTATATTAATAAAAACACATGTAACGGCAATTAATACACTGTAGTGTTAGAAGATATTGACAATAATAAAATAGAATTCGAATATTCACAGACCATCGGAACCGCCAGCGGTGCCTCCACACCGAGATACTACCAACAGCCTCAAAACGCGCTCTATGGAAGCCAGCTACAACAAAAATAGACGAAGCAGCAACTTTAAGAGTGGTTCAACGGACAGAAGAACACTACCAACAGGTAATAACTATACGAAACACACTATAAATAAATGTTGCTAGTTTTATCCCATTTGAGTTTTTCAAAGAGAATCGTTAGCAGTCACGAAATAAGATTAATCAAATATAAAATGAAAAAAAAACTAAACGCCCGGTTTATGAAACACCGATCATTTTGATTCAGAGAGTTTAACCATTCTTTTGGCACATTGAACATTTGAAAATCCATTTGACAGCTGATTAGTCGTAGTAGTAGGTGTTTGTTTAATTTCTACGATGATCAGTATTTCAGAAACCGGGCGTAAGAGTAGTAAATACCTTCGGTTTTTTTTGTTTGTAGATCGTAACTTCCATAATTCAGTTAAATCTAGCAGAATTTCGCCATTTTACGAAAGAGGTTCATAAAAAAAATTGTTTAACATATTTTATAAAGTATTATAACGCCATCTATTGATGATTAAATGAGAAAGAAGCGAGAGAGCGAAGTAGACTGAAACACGTTATTTTTCAACATAAAATACCTTTAATTTGTACATTTTTGCAGATAAATAAATATAAACTTTCGGCGCTGCGAGATTCGATGCTGCGTCTTCTGGTTTCGCGCCCATACCCTTTACCAACTAACGCACGTTCGGATCTCGCAGAGCCGAAAGTTTTTGTTCATTTATCTACAAAAAGTAGGTATTAGACGGTTACAGATGATTTATAAAATCATTTCTTTTTAAATTAACGAATCTTTCAATTATTGTAATTAATTTATTATTTACTAAACATATCGTAATAACGTTTTCCCCTTAGATATTAATGCTATTGTAAGTAATTTGTTTTTAACTTGGCAAGGTCAAAGTTTTGTCTACAAAATTAGCTTAGCATTACCTAATAATTATTTCAGACGTCGGTACCAGCGGTGCCCGACGACGCACGCTTCAACGACAAAACCGTGACGCGTCTGTGGGGTCCCGCGGGCCACTGCAGACGTCGGCAAGTTTACCCGAGACTCCAGTGTTCGCCCGCGGCTGTGACGTACCACGCACGCCACCAAGAAACTCCACAGGACCACCCCGTAACAACACTATGAACTCCATACAGACCATAGGTAAAGTTGACATATATTTCAAATTACTCATTTTGGCGCGTCTGGGAAAAATGATGAAAGCGAATTTTTGCGATGATTTTTGACATTAACCTACAAATTCAAGTTATTTAATTAAACCGTTATCAATTGCCGTTATCATTTTAATGTCTTTTCTCACAAACAAAGAGTACTGGCACATAGGATAAAAATTATAGCTATTTTTATTTTGTTAAGTTAAAGACTAAGACACTTCTATGTGTATACATAAGTACACACATAAGTTCTCTGTTTTTCGGTATTTCTTCTAGGCGCTGTTCTAGAAAAAAAATTAAAGTATATAAAACCATAAGTAAATATTAGATAGCCATTTATATTTTTATTTTTTACTTACAACTCACAAATCAAAGCAGTCGGAACAGTAACGCTGTTTGGTAATTCTCATAAAGACATGCTCAAACAATTTACATTTTGTTTGTTTGGTTTAATGGGCACTATATTATTATTGCTCTATTTATTTAATCATTTATATTATTTTAAATAAGTTCTAATTTTGAAACACACCAGAAGCAATAGTTTTAAACAAACGTACACAAGTTAGAAGCAAAACTCAAAATTGTATTGCAATAATCAATAGGTCATGCATACTTATCTCTAAACCTTATAGTGCATGCCTATCAAAACAATAAACCTATAATAGTGCTAGCGCAAATCATTGAATATGTACCTGTACGAATTGCGAATTTCTGAAAATTAGTCGTCAAACTTTCGATAACGAACATAATATGAAAAAGAATGTTATCCATGTAGTTTTTCAGAAATAAAATTAAAACCAATTTGTTCAGCAACAAACAACAATAAAAAAAATATTAAGATGTTAATTTTAATCGCTGATATAAATACGAACGGTCTCAACAGACTGGTGATTCGTTTATATTCGTATATTTATTTCTCTACTAGCTGGTAGACGAGTAGTAGAAATAAACATGCAGCACTTTCTTCTTCTACCTGATATTAATCCCGGCTATTACCAGGATCTGCCTCATTAATTAAAATATTCGGCTCATTAATTAAATAAAATGTAGACAATGTGTAAGCAAATCTAATTTACGTTATGTTGTTCATATGTAATGACAATCGACAACGATTTGCCACTACTCCGACGTGATTTGCAAATGTTGCTATCGCTAAATAAATGATGATTTGTATTGTTATTTGAAAAAGAAAAAAAAACTAGAATCGAATCAGTATCATACGGCTTAAGTTACTTAAGCTTCGAGATATCATAGACTCCGATATGATCTATTAACAGATCGTCCTTCACTTCTTACACATTACTCTCAAAAATAATTTTTAACAAAAAAAACCGACTTCAAACAGGAAACTAAACGGTGAAAAATAAATTTACTTAGCACAAAGTAATTCGTATTTTTATTTATAGTCAGAAATTATTAAATAAGTATTTTAAAATTTTGACCAAATCTCCTCCTTTTTGAAGTCGGTTATACATATCCCTTTATATCATTAACGTAAATGTATAAACCATTTGTTTGATTAAAATGTTCATCATCAGGGAGCAGCGCCACCCTGGGCGGCTACGGTCGAGGCTCGGTGATGGGCGCGGCGTCGGGTGTGTGCACCGGAGCCGACCTGCTACGGATGGGCGGGCCCCCTCGCGGATGGTACCCTCGTCAAAGACACCGGTACATCAATTTACGACAATATTTCGCAAGATATTATTAATTGCACGAATTGCGTGAAGTGGTACTACGTATTGCACTTTCGCGTCTCGTCTGGTAAGTGAGGTAGCCGCCGCCCACTTTTTTAATGTTGGCAATGCATTTGCAACAGGTCAGATGTTGAAGATATACATGGGCGATGGAAATCGCTTAACCACAGGTGGGTCGAATGATCGTTTGCCAACTTTTTACATAAAAAAAAGCGTCTTCAATATGCTTCAAATCTGTAATTCATGTTAAACGAACTTATAGATTTTTAAAGACGCATAGAGGAAAATACAACATGCTTCATGAAATTTTTATCTCTGTTTTTTGTATTCTGTTTGTAACCCACAAACTTAACATTGTTTGACAACACTGCTTTTAATTCCAAGCAAAAATATACAAATGTTATACTAAATCGTTATATGAAATTATATTATTTTTCACTGCTTCTCATTTGGCTCTTCTGACATTGTCTTGCACAAGGCACTGATTTATGATAACATTTTTTGTACATAAGAAATCTTTATATACTTAAACAAAGAACTTTACAAATCTGTTCTACATTTTTTTAAACAGGCCAGCGTCTACAGAGCACCTCGACAGACTCACGACGTCGTCAAAGATGGCGGCCGATCATCCAGTGCCTTGGGAGGGTTCAGGCGCGCGTAAACCTTTAACGTTACCGCCGAATCTGACACCTAAATTCTTCCAAAAATCACCGAGAGAAGCACTGCGTAGAGTTACGAGCTTATTAATAAGAAAAGGTAAGAGTACGAGTGTTTCTACACCCTTTACCCAAGAACCAACTTGTCATTCCTGAATTGTTTCGTGTTACGTTGATATATTACGTTGCCACGAGGTATTGTATTGTATTAACTGATGTTAACGCTTTCAGTCCCGACACTATAAAAGCTTCATCGAACGCAGAACCGGTGGGCTAGCCAGAACCCACGGGTTTGAGGCCCTCTTCAGTGGGTAGAGCCGCGCATGTGCTCATGCGTGCGTTAGCTAAGGATTGTCGCCCACGGTGCGGACCGTGACCCCGATGACCGTTGACTGTCCTTGTTTAGTCGGGCTGGGGGCGGTGAGAACCTAAATACGTGCTGTGTTGGTTTGGCCGTGCTCGAAGACGAGGACAAACTATGATGTTTGCTGTTGCACTAACTGTGTGTATAGTGTTATCTGGAGGGACCCCCGACGGTGGGTCCGAGGTACGAGGTACTTAGGTCCCCTCGACCATGCCAGGAGAAATGCGATCCTCTGCCAACTGCCTCTTTTTTCGTGGAGAAGTGCCACCCACAGACATCGGCAGCGGTAGTCTCCATGGTGGCACCGCCTCCGAGTGATATAGGACCTCCCTCGACCCACTCAGCCGCCACATTGTGCGCTATCACGGTTTCACAGACGAAGACTACGATCCCACACTATCCCAGCGATAGATATTCCTATTTCACTACGATACAGATTTCAGTACATATATGATATATGTTGATGACTCACTCGCGATCGTGGGTTCGATTCCCATACAGGAAAAGTATTTGTATGACCCACAGATCATTGTTCCGGACCTGGGTGTTTGTTCGTGAGACAAAAGACAGACGGCCCTCGTAAAAAAACTAACCATAGCCGATCCCACTTGAGATAAATTTACGATATAAAAAGAAGACAGAAAACAAATTAATATTAAATATGTACTGAAATCTGAATATAATATTAAGCACTTCTTTAAGAAGACTCCCGCACCAGGAAGTAATTCCTGCGCCTCGGGCGATTACTCAGACTTGAAATCACGGATAAAATTTATACCCGGACCGATATTTTGGTGCCATATAAATTCAATCCCCGTGGAGATGACCAGCTCGCAATGACAATTGGCAAGGTGAACAGCATCGCGCCATCCGTACAGTCGAACTAAAATTATTCTTAAATGGTAGAGCTACTCAGCCGGAATAGTACTACGGCCTCACAGAAAACCGACGTGAAGTGGAAGTATTATGCTTTCGCATACCTTTGTGAGTGAGGTAGGTCTGGTTTTTAAAAGTTTTAGAAGTTAGTATTTGCGTATTAAATTAAGTAAAATTCCTAACTCGTTTTGAAATCTTCACACACGATCTCGTTTAATGTTTGAGTGTTTACTTTTCTGGCTCAGTGACTCAAAGAGGATCTTGCCCTCCGACACTAAAAGACGCCCTCTATTCTGGGCTGTTTCTTGCTAGTTGGCTGATAGGAGCGCTCAGATTGTTTACTTGTTTTTAATAGAAACGGAAGCCTTTTCATGATTTATTCTCGATGGTTGCGATCTATGACAAGACGGTCGGTTAATGAACTGACATTTATGTCATAGTTGCCGATAACCTTTGACTAAATTAATTCTTACTCACTATATAATCACTTGACACGCCGTCGTAATGACAAATTTAATTTATAAAACAACAACAATTTATTTTTGAAGACTAAATGTATCAGACTAACTCTTCTTAGATCCTAGTTGTCTCACAAACCTGGAGGAGAAATCGGAATCTAGAACGGAATAGTGTCTTCAAATGAGAAAATCCTACCCCTTGAGGATTCAACAATATTTTTGGAATTTATATTGATTCCAAGTTGCAATGGGGAGTTCATGTAGATAAATAAATTAGCTAAAAAACTATGCCGTCTTTAACGAAACAAATTAGTTTATTAAGCTTATTTTAACAACATTATGTAATATGGTGTTTTGCTTTGGGTTTCCGGTTACGGTTTGCATAGGATATTTGTATTGCGAAAGCAAGTTAAACGGACTGTCTATGGCTTGGGTCCAGCTGAGACCACGGCATCTTTTTAATAGTAGCAAATAAACGTTTTAACGCTCACGTCGCTATGCAAACATCATGTATGTTCGAAATAATATCCACCTTTTTGCAAAAATACATACCACATCGCGTAGGGGCCGTGTGTGCCGGTGACGGGTCACCAAGTTCTCAGATCTAGTTGAACTTGTAATGTTCATAACAATTTTCGATTACATAAACATAATAATTATATTCTAAGGTCAATGCATAAAGGAGAAACTTTGGCCTCATTGCCTGGTCGTCACCAACTAATGCTCAAAAATACTTTTATTTGGGATATTTAAAAATATTTGTTAAATGTCCTACAGGCTGTTGTCCTCGGATTACTTATCAGATAGTACTTAATCCAAACATTCATTTCTTATATGTATATCTAACCGCTTATCTCTTCTCTAACGTTCTTATCTAATATCTAATTGTATATACGAGATAAGAGCCATTGAAGGCCGAGATGCTGAGAATCATAAGAGTGGCAAAAAATTTACAACAATGTTTTTCTTATTTTTAAGTAAATAAAACATCAACCAGAAATTTTTCATTCGTCTATGGGTGGTATTTATCATCCCTTGTTTCAGGGGTTTTTATGATTGTAAATTAGAAACAAAGATCAAATTACAGAACGTGAAGAGCCGTAATAGCTCAAAGTGTAGCTGCTCGCTTACAATCCAATACAGATCAAATCCCGGTACCGTGACCAATGAAATTTTTAATTGCAATTTTAAGTTAAAGAAAACATCTTGAATAATGTGTAATAAAATCGTGAGAAATATAGTTTCGAAATAATAAATAATAATGAAAAAAATATTTATAGGTAGGAGTATTTATTTGTAGATTGAACGTAAAATACATAAATACAAATACATGGGTAAGTGTTATGTTACATAAAGATTACGAGAGAGTAGGTGTGAAGTTTCTTTTCCAAGATTTATCATTTCACGTTATTTTAAACTTCTGGAATTTATTAACTACTTTGTTTTTGTTATATTTCTTAGAAATAGGAAATAATAAAGAAGTAATAAATAAAATTTGCAGTAATTATACTATTCACAAGTGAGAAATAACAATTGAGAAATTATCATGTTATGAAGCTCAATATATTATTTCAGATTGAAAATAGATTTGAGAAGAAATATATATGAAGGATTTAATAAATAAAAAATCATCGTTTCTAATACACAAAATACAAGTTGGAATTAAAATTCATATTTTTAATACATTTGAATTCAATATTTTATAGATACTCCATATCCATGCCCAAAAACTACACACACATATATATAGTCGATCATATATATATATGTGTGTGTGTGTGTATATGTAAACTTTTGGCGACACGATTGGCGTGGGGAGTAGTGAACCTGCATCATGCTCCAGAGGGTGTGAGTTCGATCCCCACTACTGGTAAAATATTGTGTGATGAACATAGTGTTTTGCCAGTTTCTGGGTTTTAATATATGTATAATATGTATTTATTTACAATATGTGTAATATGACATAATTCGATAACGTAAAAATTAAATTATGCCAATTAATTAAAAGATTAAAAGTTGACAAATGATTATGTACGTCACATTAAATTCTATTCAAATTAATTATTTGTTTTTATTCAGTAATAAACACAACTTTAACTACTTATAAACTATAATCTTAAATCAAGTTGCAATTAACGAGGGCCTTTTAAAATATAATTTAAGGGCATTGTTAGGGTTTGTGGCCTTAGTTTCTAATACGGATTTTTTAATTTTATAGATTTTTTATAACCATAATGCTGAATATTGAATAATACGATTCAAGCTTCATCTATGTACTTCAAACCTCTAGAATGATTTAAATTTTTGCAAACATATGATGAAACGATGTCAATATAATTATTTCATGACTTGATGGTACCTTAACCAAGATGTATCTTATCATATTACACTTTGTTCGTTCTAGAGACGTATTTAACTGTTGCCATGGCGGCATTGCATACCTACCAAGATTCAGTTCGCGAAGCTCATCATGTGATAGAAGATTACAGTTTAAAAAAGGAACAAGCATGATTTTCAACGATATTAAATCTTCTGTCCATGGTATAACACACAACAGTAATGATGTGGGTTATGGTTCTCTAGAGAGTAAAGGTTTATCGAAAATTACTTCTTGCTAAAGTTCTGAATTTCAATTTAAGCATTTGTACCTTTATAAGACTTTTTTGACTGTATTGAAAGCATATTTCACCAATAGGCCACCTGATTTTTAGTTCAATCAAGACAGTCCTAATAACTACTTTTATATATTTATGCTCAGCAACGTTTATGAACATTTTTATCATACATCCTAGTGAAAATTTTAGGGTTTTGCAATGCAAACAATAGTGCGTTACTTCTTAAAGCATAACCGGAGGAATCCATATTTTCTTAAAATAATAATGGTCAAAGAGCTATTAAAAGTACTAACGTGTTTCGCGGTAAGATTCTGATTAAAAAAATAAACAAACCTCCAAATCGGTTAGTTAAACAATTCGTTTGCCAGAACCGCGTCTAGTTTAATATCGACACATTCACATTTAAACGTTTCATGTTAACAAGGGCGCACGTAGGTATTTTTTACATTGAGATTGACTTATTTGATAGTAGGTACATAGAATTAAATAACTGAACAAAAAATTATGATAAGTTATGAAATTTTGATAATAGATGGCAACACTTGTTCTGATTTTATAGTACCTAAGTTTACATTTTGTCTCTGAAATAAACATTATTGAAATAAGCTACAAAAGACCTAAAACTAGAATTTATAAATAAACAATGCGTTAAGATTATTTTTCATAGATTAATTTAATTTAATTTAAATTGTGCAAATCAAAACTTTAGCCTAAAAACACCAATTTAATAAAAAAACTATTTTACGATATGTTCCCCGCACCATTCCGTTCCCCTCTATGCAAAGCC